ACCTCAGTGTGTGTGTGTGTGTGTGTGTGTGTGTGTGTGTGTGTGCGCGCGTGTGCGTATTCTTAGCAAACATTCAAGTGGATTATTGCAAACCACTATCTGGAAAAATTAGAAATCAGAGGAGTTAGAACTGGTTCGAGATGTTTGGGATTAACAATAAAATGATTTTAAACAGGAAATTTCACAGGACAGGATGGTTGGGGGACTGGGACTGGTCTATGGAACCTTTTATCTCCAGGTTACCCGTTCAAACCCAGCCCAGCAAAGCTGTGACCATCACAAAGTGGCTTAGTGGCATGAGTTAGTGGGCCTTACCCCTGTTTCTATTGGATGGGTGTCAGCTTCGCAGAAGCCACCACAATTGGGGCAAATTGGCAGCCTCAGCAGAGGGGCCATGGAAACTCAACTAGCTTCATACTCCTAGAAGTGGTCTCTCTAGGTCTAGGTCAGTGAGGGGCAAACTTGCACTCCCACTGTCTGGGCTGTAACTGCTCTACATACAGAGAGGGCCTTAGGCCCAGATCTTCAAAGGTATCCAGGTTCCTAACTTCCATAGCTTTGAGGATCTGGCCTTAGTCTCTAGGAGACAGATCCTCAGCTGGTGTAACTTGTTTTGGCTCCATTGAAGTCTGTCCATCCAGTACGTTTCACTAGCTCGAAATTCATTTATAAAACACCAACCATGTTTGGCTTCCCTCCAGTCCAATCTGCAGAGGTGGAGACTCAGACTTCTACCATTCCCCTGTGTCTCTCTGTGCCCTCTTCTTTCCTCTGTCAGCGAGAAGGGGGAGCATCACTGGGGCTGTTTAATCCCATTGTTCTGAAACTTCCACTGGGGCCTGGTTCTGCTCCTGACACAGGCTCATCTTTTTGAGGCAGGAGGAACCCCCTAAGGGATTTCAGACCCTATTTCAGAACGTAGCTCAGGGTTCAAATTATTTCTGGAAAATTGGACCTTTTTGCTAAACCCCTTGAAAACAAAGTGGCAGTGAAAATGAAACCCTGCTCCCTTTTCCAGTAACGGCCCTCAAAGCGTCTTTCTAACCTTTCTTATGGTTCTGTCTCCCCCCATTATGGTGTGGCCAGAAACAACTGTCTCCCCCTGGGAAGGACTACCGAGTCTTCCAAGGACTTTTACCCCTGTTTCTGAAGCATGTGGGGTGGCCACTGTCTGAGACACGCCGTGGGACTAGATGGACCAATAGGTCCCAATCCTGCAATGAGATGAACCTCAGTGGAATCTTTTGCCCACCCAGAGCCTCACTGAAATCAGTGGAAGGACCTTAACTCAGTCGGGTCTGACATGTGTGTCTTGCAGTTAGAAGGGTGGGAATGAGTAGATTACAAGTTCTGAGGGCCATTAAAGGTATCTAGATCCTCCCTTGCTGTCCTGCTCTGTTGACTCCATCCTGGAGAGAAGGGACCATTCCCAGAAAGGGACTATAATCCCCACCCCCCCAAAGATACTTTCAAGGATCCCTCACTTCCTTATGCGTCTCTTCCTATGTTTTCTTCCCAGGGTGCTTTCTGGGGCCTCATGTTCGGGCTGGTAGTAGGTGGCATTCGAATGATCATGGAGTTTTCCTATGGTGTGCCATCCTGTGGCGAGGAGGACCCAAGACCAGCTGTGCTAAAGGACGTGCACTACCTGTACTTTGCCCTCATTCTCTGCGTGCTCACGGGCATCGTCATTACCCTAATTAGTCTCTGCACCCCACCAATCCCAGAGGAAAAGGTAAGCAGCTCTCCAGTTCAAACCTTTCAAGCCCCTCCCCATCATAGGGTCCAAGAGTTCTCCCTGATCTGTACAGCCCTGGCTCTCCTATTGCTGAGATCTCAGGGCCTATAATGCACACCTACAAAGAAGCACCTTTCCCAAGCCCTTCTGTTTTCCAGGGCTCAGAGCATTAACGCTGCTTGAGACTCAATGAATTATTGAAATGGAGTGTGAGTTCCCGTGCTGTATGTACAGCTCTGCACACACACACCGCAGCACATCATATCTGGGAGAGAAGGAAAAGAAGTGTGTTGCTGAGAAGGAATTAAATAGAGCTAATTGAAGCTTCTGTCCTATTTCAGCAAAGCCCCCATCAATCTTGCAAGCAAACAAGATTAATATCTTTGCAACACTGGCATTTAGAGAAATAACATTCCATCCCAATGTGATCTCAATTACATTTAACAACATAGTGTCATGGTACAGAAGAAAGCAACTTTCTTTTACTTACTGTATTAAAACAGAACTGTGCATAAAGGTTAAGGTTTTATTGAGTGTCAGCTTAAAGAGATACTGTCAAGTAGTTTAGGGTCTAAGGAGCTTTGGTTTCCTGAGCGGTTGCATAAAAATTGGGGGCAGGAAAAGGAAAAAAACATCAGGTGCAACCATGTTCCATGACTGGTTTTTTTTTTAAAAGAACTTCTGAATGGGGTATAGGATATATAGATTCTCTGGGCCACATGTAGCCCTGGTGTATCTCTGTTGACTTCAATGGAGGGGATAGGTTTAAATCCAAGTGATTGAAATCACCAACATTACTCATGATTTAAATCATCACTTTTAATTGAGTCTTGCATGTATACGTTTTAGTTATTTTCCTATTGATTCTCATTGGTTGATAACCATTAAAACATGTCAATTTGCAACTAAATATAGCCTTTACATGAAATTTGGTTCTTTTTGCTAACCAGGAAGATGCACCAAACTTGCACAAACTGTGATTATGTCATGTGACATTGACCGCCGTGACATTTTCTGCTCTGGGGCTGGAGCTCCCACCCAGCCCTGCCCTTGCAGCACCCAGCCCCCAAACTGGTGAGGGGGACCCACAGCTGCCCAGCCACGGCCCATAAATCATAGAACCATAGAATATCAGGGTTGGAAGGGACCTCAGGAGGTCATCTAGTCCAACCCGCTGCTCAAAGCAGGACCAACCTCAACTAAATCATCCCAGCCAGGGCTTTGTCAAGCCTGATCTTAAAAACCTCTAAGGATGGAGATTCCACCACCTCCCTAGGGAACCCATTCCAGTGCTTCACCACCCTCCTAGTGAAATAGTATTTCCTAATATCCAACCTGGACCTCCCCCACTGCAACTTGAGACCATTGCTCCTTGTTCAGTCATCTGCCACCACTGAGAACAGCCGAGCTCCATCCACTTTGGAACCCCCCTTTCAGATAGTTGAAGGCTGCTATCAAATCCCCCCTCACTCTTCTCTTTTGGAGACTAAATAAGCTGGCCAGGGATGGGGGACCCTGCAGCTACCAGGTGCCCAGGCGAGGGGACTCAGCAGCCGCCCAGCCCTGGGGCAGGGGAATCCTGGAGCTCCCAGGCACCGCATTGGTGCGGGACCCAGAGCCCCAGCACAGCGGGTGCTGAACCCACCTCTCCCTTTTGTCAGGGATCCTTTTAGTGAAAGTCAGGGACAGGTCATGGGAAATAAACAAAAATTCACGGCAGCCCAGGACCTGTCCCTGACTTTCATTAAAAGGATCCCTGACAAAAACTTAGCCTTAATTATATAGCTTAACGGGCATTTATTCAGAGTCTTAATTTTGACATTATCTTAGGAAATGATGCTATTTTTTATTTGCTAGATGATGATGTAACTTTTTACTGTGTATTTGTGTCAAACTCTATTT